GAGTGCCACAGAGAACAAGCCCTAGTTATGTCCTGAACCACAATACTTTAAACATCTGGCACAGTAGCAAAGAATATGTCATTAAAAGTAAAATTACCAAGTGTAGGTAATTTCACACACTTTTCAAGACTTCTCTCACCCTGAAATTCCTTCCCCTTGCCTTGAGCACCGAAGCGGAGAAGATATGCTCTGAGATCCTGGGTATTCAACTCAAGGATGGCCTAAAACTATTCCTTCCCAAACTCTGTGTGAAATTCACTTTGCTGCCTTTCTGTTGGAAGAGTAGGCAGTTTGGGAAGCGAGAAGCCCTTAAAACAACATCTTTTTAGAGGGGGTGATGCAGAAAAGTGTTGGGTGTTTCATAATCCTTGTTTACATGAATTGAGCTATTTGCATAATAACAGCTTGAGGCATGTACCTTTCATTCTGCTCTCAAAGTCAAGATGCCCATTTCACATCTCTCTCCCCTATGTCAGTCAGTCTCTCTCTCTCACACACACACATGCTTTCAATCCAAAGCACTAAATAAATAAGGAAGTCAAACACAAACCCAGGGAGGTGACTTGCAATTGGGGGGCTGGGGTAGGAGTAATATCAGATCACAAAGAGGGCATTAACCAACAAGCAACATATGTACAGTATGACCCCAATATTCTTGGACTTCACATGGATATGTGAATCTTATTATTTTCAATGGGATGAATGACTGAGGTATTGAGAAATGGATATACCTTGTATCGGAAGTCTTAAGTGAATCGGCAAAACCATGGAAAAGTGGAACTGTGTATATGGATTCTGTGGATACATGGTTTATACTATACTAACAAAACAGTATACTGTTCTAAATATCCCCCTCTCCAAACCATATGAAATGTTTCCAGGTCATCATGTCTTTCTCTCTCTCAAATGGAAGTCTTTTGAGAGCACCGGCTGAGAGCCAGCATGTCCTGGAAGCAAAAGCCAAAACACTGGATCTACAATTGGGGGTGCCCACATGCATCTCCCCCAACAATGAGATACAAACTGAGCCAGTATTCCTAGGAATAACAACATGTCCTCTGACTAAAGGTATTGGTGCTTGTTCTCCCAGTGGGAAAAATGAATGGTTCCAGGGGAACCTCTGGACCATCTCTGATCAGTGATGGGGTTTCTCTGCAAAGTGAAGAATGAACAAGTAGTGAGGAGATTTCTGGAGTGGACTTTAAGAGAAGGAAAGCATTTCCCTGAGATCTTTACCATGCTGGAATCCGACCATCTACGGATAGGATGAGACCTGCAGGGTCACTCAAAAAATGAGAACCTCCTGAATGATTCCCAGTTTACACTCAAATTTGTGCATCACTTACGCATACTCCTAGAGATGTCTGATATGGCCACATTGATATGTACCTTGGTAGCATCTCATATGGATGGCTGAGACACATTCTATCTGTCTTCAAAGATACTTTGGAGACTTCAATTAATTAAAAATGCTGAAGTTGGATTGTTAAGAAGAGCTGATTGTAGAAAGTATACAGCCTCACTAGTCTGTTTCTGGGTAGAATTCAAAGCACCGTTCTGGCTCATAAGCTATATTTTAGGGGGTACAGGATATCCAAAAACATTCTTTCATATGTGTGACCAACTTTTTCGGGTCTACTGGGAGAGCCCTTCTCTTAATTCTGCTATCATTAGAGGCAATGTTGGGGGTGCCCACATGGAGAAGTGAGGTGGAACTCCTTTCAACTGACTCTCTTCCTGCCATCCTAAAGTACACCTTTGGAAACTTGGAACAGGATGTTTAATGGGTGAATACTACATTACTATATTTAAATAATCATCATTACCATTATTAATTGTTATCTAGTCAACTTTTACTTATAGTGACACCATGAATTAGACACCTCCAAGTCGTCCTATTATCAACAGCACTGCAATTCGCAAACTTCCTTGCACTGTTATGTCAATTTGTACTTAACTGATGTTTGTGTTTAATCTNCACTTTGTTTTAATATTATAACTTACTTACTTTTGTGATAATATGATATTGAAAGTAGTATATAAATGGAATAAAGAAATAATAAACGTCAATGAAAGCCAGCAATAGTAAATCAAGGAAATCAAACTAACAAGATAACATCTTTCACATCTTCATTTGAGATTTCACACCCTCCCAGCTGTCCTCAAGGAAGCTCAATATCCTAATCAGTTTGCTTAGTCAAGAATAGCCTCACTATTTTTGTACCAAAAGGAAAGCACTGGCCAAAGTGGGGTGAACACTGTGGAATGAAATGTGAACAGCCAAGTGACAGGTGTTAGCTTCAGATAAGCCCTAATGCACTTTTGTCCGAAGACTATGCAATTCCGAATCCTTTAATGCAGACCCGAAGGAAGATTAAATACAATCCAGTATCACCAAGAAGCCTGGTCTTGTGAGACTGTTCATCATATGATTCAATGAAGGAAGAAATAAACAAGATACCTTCGCTAGTACAATAATATGCTACAGCTAGAAGCCAAAACAGCAGCACCAAGCAATACAAGTTGAGTATCCCTTCTCTGAAATGCTTGGGACCAGATTGTATTTCTGTGCCAAGACCACGTGGCGCGCCCTTTGCATGTGGACCTTTATCACCCTTTTTGTAAGCAAGAGCTGGCCTGTTTCAAGTATACAGAGACATTTTCCAACCTCTGAAAGATGCTAACCCTATTAAGTTATATGGGAAAGAAAAATTCCACTTTCTCTCTCTCTCTAAGGGCATTACCAGATGGAGAGAGGACCGTGTGTGTGTGTATGTGTGTGTGTGTGTGGCAGCACACTCAAAAGGAGTATTTTACACATGCCGTTATGCACATTAATACATTCCCTGATGACTCAACATTTATTGGTGCCAAGTTGGCATAATAAACTTTCAAGAACAGAAGGTAATTATATTATTATACATCTGTGCAGGGAGAGCCTGTAACCAATTAAAATTGGGTCTTTCACACTGCAGAATTATAGTGATACCATTCCATTTTAACTGCCATGGCAACATCCTATAGAATGCTGCCTTGAGTTAAGTATAAGTTTAAAGAGGAGTGTTCAGTATTCTCAGCCAGACAGCTCTCCAAAGTACTAGTGTCTGGATTCAATGGGATGGCAGTTAATATGGAACCATTATGCTATATGGAACCATGGCAGTTAATATGGAACCATTATGCTATAATGGTGTAGAATAAAAGGACCCATAATGAACTGACACTCCTGGAAGTTTCCAAGAGAGGCAATGTAATGTGTTTTGTGAAAGACAGAACAAATATGTTTTTTTTTTTTTGATCTCCAGAAAACAGAACCAACACACTAAAATTACACAAAAGGATTTTGGAAGGAAAGAATTAGGGAGAACGTCTTGACAATAACAGCTGTTCAACAGTGGAACAGACTAGTTCAGTAGGTGATTTATTTCATGAAAGATTTTGAAACCAAGGTTGAATTGTTGCCAATCATTTAGCTACCCATTTCCTGAACTGGCAAGGATGAACTTGATGGCCTTTGAGTAACTTCTACTATTCTTTAGTTGTATAGGAATACTTTATAAGCATGTGGTAGTCCAAGTGATTCTGTCGTTGCTGTGACCTTGGGAGAACCCAGTTAAGTAGCCCAAAATAATTCAGTTCATTTCTATTTCATTCAATTCAGGACTGAGGGCACAGTTTTTTAAACTTACCGTTCCATGGTAGTTCCTATAAAGGGGCATTTTTAAGAGATTTGTTAAGTAGTCTTCCAGTTGTTTCTGCAAAGAAAATAAAGCCGAGAAGCTCAAATAATATGTGTATTACATACATGGGCTATTATTCAATAATTCAATAATTCAGAATCATAAAATAACAAACATTGCAGTCAATGATAGCAACATCACATCATTACCTCATCACACTAGAGAATGTGATGAGGTAAAACTTTAAATTCAGTTTCTGCCTCTTGCAGAATTCAGGGGTTTGTAGTTTAGGGAGGCTGTTAAAGGTTCCTTCCTAAACTAAAAACTCCAGAATTCTGCAAGAGGCAGCAATCAGATTTAAAGTGGATTCACTCTCTAGTGTTCTTTTTTTTTCCCATGTCAAGAGCGACTTGAGAAACTGCAAGTCACTTCTGGTGTGAGAGAATTGCCTGTCTGCAAAGATGTTGCCCAGGGGACGCCCAGATGTTTTGATGTTTTACCATCCTTGTGGGAGGCTTCTCTCATGTCCCCACATGGGAAGCCAGAGCTGACAGAGGGAGCTCATATGTGCTCTCTCCCAATTCGAACCTGGACCTAGTGTGATGAAGTAGAAGAATGGGGAATTTATTTGACTTCAAAAGCTGAATCCATTTCACTTATGTTCTTGGGGGAGCAATCAAATGGTGGGTCGGTCCAAAAGGTGAATAAAAAATACTACCACATTTTACCTGAAAGCTCTTAGTGTTAATTGCTAAGCCTTATAATGGGCATTTCAATTTTTCAGAATGCCCCCTTCCAAAGAAAGAAAGAAAGAATTGGCCAATTAGGACAGATACATTTATCTAGATCAGTATGCAAAGGGATTTTGTAGACTAATTGAGAGAAATAGGTTTTCGCTTCATCATCAGATGTACTTAATGAAATAGACTTATGTCTATGAAGGCTTATGCTTCCATCTTCTTCCTTCCAGCTAGACTCAAAGGTGCTAAAATATCTCTTTGCATAGGATGGGAACCGCAAAAGAGGTCAAAATATTTACAAGATAGTGGATTAGGTCAATATATACACTCATCTTTTCACATATGAAGTAGTTTAATAAGGATTCAGATAGTAATGCTTTGTAACATAAATTCACGCATCCAATTATAAATTGTCAAGTAGATGACAGACTGAGTAATATATATATACGTATAAAGAAGCTATGTAGTTCTCAATGCAATGGCAAAAATCTAACTTAAGAAACAAAATGACACTTCATGCAATGCAAATAAAGAGTTTGGAAGGGCCTGCTCTGGACTGGGGCCACAATAGGAAGCAAAAGGTTAGGAATCACCCATCCTGATGCACTCTTATTCCAGGTTCCCAGGTTAAATCATATCCTCCGACCTTCTTGCCCTTGACTTTCCAAATGCTATTTATGCAGCTGATAATTGAAAGAATAGCGACTAATAACTGTCCAGTTGGACACTGTATACCATATTGTAGTTTGCTAAACCAAGCTTCAAACACCCAAAAAGTCAGTAAAAGATGTTGTAGATGATCACTAAGAGGAAGGATGCTCACCCTTCTGCTGGAGAGATGTTCTTCTCTAACCATGTTGTCAGAGGTGCGGGGTAAGCTTGGCATTTGCCGTGCTTCTCCCCTTTTGACAGTCTGCCTTCGGACTGTGTGCCTGAAAAAAGTAACATTCAGATTGTGAGGTGGGAGGTTTCAAGCAGTGAAACAAAGGAAAGGGAAGGCAGGAACCTCATCCAATTATAAATTTCTTATTGTTAGGAGCTCTTCTGCTATGGTAGTGATCAACAGAAATCATTTAAGCACATATGGAGGTAAACTGTGCACACAACTCAAATGTTCCTTCTCCTATCTAACTGAAGGACACAGAGGTCAGTACAATTCCTTCTTATCAGATGCCACCTTCACAAGAATTATTTAATGTTAATCTCAGTGATGGCTCTAAATTATAACTTTCAGATTCAGTACCTTGGATAGCCCCTTTAAAGTTCAAATTAAACACTCAACAGATTCAACAGTCCATTGACACGGAAGCTACCAGCTTCCACTGGATTTCCTTTATTATACTAGTGATAATAGTTTGGATTACAATGTTCCTAAAAACTATACAATGCGTAATTCCCATATACAGCAAGCATGGTGTAGCAGTTTGAATGTTGAAATAGGATTCTGGGGATCAGGGTTTGAATCAGCCATAAAAATGCACTAGGTGATCTTGGGCAGGTCATAGTCTCAGTCTCCGTCTACACTGCCATATNTGTAGAAGGGGCCGCAGAAGAAGGCAAGAATATTTCATGATAGGTTCACCTTTGAGTGGCCATGAAACAAAAATCACTTGGAGCTAAACAACAACAATTCCCACCTTTACTCTTTTGATGTTTTCCTTCTCTTCTTGAAACAATTGCTTTTAGGCTTTGGAAATAATATTTATCCTTCAAGAACTACAAAGATCTTGTGACTAAGCAACCACC